TCCGTCAGTGTTTGAACTACTTTTTATCAGGGCCCCAGGATTAACATTTGTATTTGTTATCTTTATTTTCTTCTGACATAGGGTCTAGGCTGTCTCGTGTACCATTTTGCTTGAAACCAGGTAAACGTTTGTGAGTGCATCTGACCAAATATACCCATCCTCCATTTAGAACCAGGGAACACTGGCGGACTAGTGGTAAAGAATTGTGCTGCCAAACCAAAGGCATGTGGTTCAAATGCACCAGCTGCTCTGCAGGAGAAAGATGGTCAATCTCCTCTTGTGCAATTTACAGCCTCTGAGAAGTCACTGGAATGTCCGTTCAGATTCGATGGTACACAACAACAACAACATTTCAGAATGGTGAGTCTTACCTTCTAGGGGTCTGATTTTTTGTGCAAGAGTTTGCTAAGTTTGAGAAGTTGTCCATCTCTGAGATTCTACTAAGTTCACAATGAGCCTTCAGCACAAATTGCTTCCAGCTAGAGGAGATAGCAGTCTTAAAAAGCTGCTTCAAGCTGTTTCTGACGTCACTCCTTCTTTAAATTGTTAACTGTCTGACCTGAGCCTGTCATTTTCTCTCTTCAATGAATTGACAGTATCCAGCAACAGGAAACTAATTCTATAGTCCTTTAAATTACTGTTTCCTCTACATGACACAAGCCATTGTAAACCCTTTTAACGCTATCCAAATTCAATTTACCACAGGTGAGTGTCATAGTAATAGCACTGTCCAGCCTGTCAGGTGCTAAGGACACTGAACTTACCATCAGTAATGACTGTTGTTGCTGTTGGCTGCCTTGGATCAGCCCCAATTCATGGCAACTTCATGTCTTACACTGTAGAACTGCTCCATAAGGGTTTTTTTGGTAATAATCTGCACACAAGTAGTTCTCTAGGCCTTTTTTCCCCTTCAAATTTTGCTGTATCTTTTCAACATTTGATTTTTTTTAAATTTTATATCCCATCTCCATACCTTTTCAACCTATATGCAGAACAAATTATCTGGGAGGCTGGGCTCTATGAGGAGGAATATGGCATCAGGATTGGAGGAAGACTCATCAACAACCTGTGTTATGCAGATGACACAATCTTGGATGCTGAAACTGAGGAGGACCTGGAGCACTTGCTGCAGAGGGTCAAGGACTGTAGCCTTCAGTATGGATTGAAGCTCAACATCAAGAAAACAGAGATTCTCACTACTAGGGCAATTAGCAGCATCATGATGGATGGTGAAGAGAGTGAGATTGTTAACAGCTTTAGTTTGCTTGGCCCCACAATCAACACTCTTGGTACAAGCAGCTCAGAATTCAAGAGACAAATTGCATTGTGAAAGTCTGCTGTCAAGGACATCTCCAGAGTACTGAAGAGCAATGATGTGAGTCTGGAGACTAAGGTGTGCCTGATCCAAGCCATGGTTTTTGCAGTTACGTGCTATGTATCAGAAAGCTGGACAATAACTAGGGATGATAGAGGATAATTGATGCCTTTGAGCTGTGGTACTGGAGAAGAGTATTAAATATACCACGGACTGCCAGGAGATGAAACAGGTTGATCCTGGAGAGGGTGAAACCAGGCTGCTCCTTGGAGGCAAGGATTCTGAAACTCTGTGTGACATACTTTGGACATGTTGCAAGGAGGGACCAGTCCTTGGAGAGAGACATTATGCTTGGGAAGATTGAGGAATAGCACAGGAGGGGAGGACTTTCAATGAGATGGATTGATTCAGTGACTGGAATAATGGGGGTAGGTGTGTTGAAGACAGTAAGGTTGGTTCAGGAGCAGGGTTCAGAGCAGTTGTACTTAGGGCTGCTATGAGTCGCAAGCAACTCAACGACACATAACAACAAAACAACATATTGATTTGCTTACATAGTTGGTATACATTGTATCTCACACTATCTTTCATTCACATTGTGTGTCACATAATCATTGCCATTCATTATATTTTATAAAATATTCATCATTGAACTATGTCCTGTCTTTCCAGATCCCTGCTCTAGGCCTTTCTTAAATTGCACTGCTGGTGAGTCCCAAACACCTTTGGGTTAGCAGCTCATCACAAACTAATGCTATGTGGTATTGAGTTGATTCTGATTCATAGTGATCCTCAGGACATCAGCAATGATATCCCTGGTGCCATGGCCTCACCTAAATCCTGCATGCATTTCTGGCAGTTCCCTATCTATGTACTGCTCTAGCCATTTTTTAATGATCTTCAGCAGTATTCTGCTTGCATGTAATGTTAATGATATTGTTCAATAGTTTCTATATTTTGTTGGATCGCCTTTCTTGGGAATGGTAACAAATGTGGATCTCTTCCAATCCATTGATCAGACAGCCATCCTCCAAATATCCTAGCATAGACTGGTGAACATATCCAGACATGTATCTGTTAATTCAGTCTGTTAAGTTGATTGATATCCCATCAATTCCTGGGGCCTACATGTGGAATGCAAGGAATTACACTAATTAAAGCAATGCCTACACCTCTCTGGGTTTGAATCCATCAGATGAGAAGTCTTCTTCCATGAGATTTACAGCCTCATTAAACCACTGAAGGGTTAGCTGGGAGCATTTCAAACCTGATGGCAATGAATGGTGAATGAGTTTAGGTTTTTTCTTAGCCTTTGAGCGACTGTTTTTTATTGGCTAATTTTCAGAAGTAAATCACCAGGACTGCCCTTTGGTAAGTTCTGCTGTAACATGACCAGCAGATATGATCTTGCTTGTATTTGAAACTTCAGTGTCATAGCCTCTGGTACCATAGCAATATACAAACCATCACAATATTCAGTCAGTTTTAGTTATAGTAACAGCCCTAAAATCCAACTCCATGGCAATAAGAAGGAATCTCCTTGCTGACTCATGTCCAGATATTTCAGCCCTTCAGTTTCCATTCCAATTGGTCTTTCTCTGACTGTTAATGAATTCAAATTACTGAGAAAGAGAATCTGATTGACTCCGCTAGCCTTATACTGGTTTCTTGATACCCTGAAGGAAGACTCAACTATCTTACTATCTTATTGGTTCTGCAGTAAAGAAAACATTTCACAGATTTTTTAAATGCTTCATCCTCTCAGTCAAAAAGATAAGATGGACAGATAGAGGTAGGAAGCACGGAACTCTAGATGGACTGAATGGCTGATGAAGTACTTTGAGCTTGGAGTATGTCTGCGTTTGTGTTCATATGGTAACTACTCAGCTATTCCTGCTCCCCTACTAGGCTTTTGCCTGATTTGTTTTGTTTTCTTTTTCTAAATAGTAGCTTTATTTAGGTAGAACGCACATACCATAAAATTTACCTGTTTAAATCATACAATTTAGTGGGTTTTAGGTCTACTCAGAGTTGTGTAAACATCATTACTAAATTAAAAAAACTTACCCTTTTTGAAATTTTTGTTTTCGGCTATCTACTGACATTGTCAGATTAAGTCTTTTATCTGTTTGAACCTAGTTAGGTGTAGTGACTTTAAAGTTGGAGTTACATTGCTTCACTATCTGAACCCATTACAGGTCTGTTTCTAATGACTTGTTTCTGCTAAACGGTCAGTCATTGTACAGGGGGAATGATTTGCATATTTGCTAATTACTTTACAGCTTGGGTATCTGTATTCTTGCTCGCTTTTCTGTCAACTTGTTGTACTGGTGATATGATCTCTATATTGGTAATTATTTTCTACCTTGGGCATCTGCATTCTTTGCTTCTTTATAATCCTCATGAAACCTGTCTATATCAGGCTTTTATTTGTGATGGTTGACTCATTGAAGTCTCAACCCAAAGAACATGATTTTACCTGATTTCTTCAAGCTGCCCATGGTCGACCTTGAAGCCAATCCCTGTGTTCTTAGTGAGCCGTAGGGGACTTGCCAGCTCAGCTTCACGTTTGTTAGCTCCACATCTGGGGTCAGCAAATGTTCCTGCAATAAACACTGAAATTGCCTTCCTAGGACTCCCTCCATGTCCCTTGGATCTGGATATGGTAATTATTCACTCTTTTAGTTCTCGTCTAACTCCAAGAAAATGATTTTAATATTTTTATCTAGCTTTTCCAGTTGTCTTCTGTATTAGGATTAGTTTGACTTTCATAATCTGCTCATCATTGGAAGTTCTTTTAGTTTTATTTATAATCCTTCTGAGACCTGTCAATGCCTCCAATATCGTGGTGGGTTAACGTACACCCAATTGGCAGCCCACAAACCCAGTGTTTTCTTTGAATATCCAGTTTTCCCCTTCACATTATCAATACCCTTTTATAGCACAAGAAATCCAGTCTAGGTGTCTCAGATGAGGCTCCAGTCTGATGTCCCAGGGTCAGCTGTACAGTCTTATACTCTGCCCTCATGGAGTTTACATTTCCTTCCTGGAGATTTTAAACCTGTGTAGGTCACTGAATATTCACTTGCCTGGTCCTTCTCAGTTAGTCTCTCGAATTATTAAGGGCATGAATTCAAGTTTCTGTCTAATCAAACTCTTCCCAAGCCTTCTCACTTATGGGAAAAAAGTTCAGTCGTAACCTGACATGCCTGACTGTGCCTGTTGTTTCTGTCCATCTTTCCAGCCTCTGGAACCTAAGTCATTCACACTTGGCTATATATCTCACTTTCTTAATGTATGTGTTGTGCACATACTAGTTTGCCCTTCAAATCTTTACATCACTTCTGGGAAACGTCTGATTCTCCCAGGCTTTGTCATCCTGAATTGGCACTTTGTTTCCAGGTGTGTTTCTCACTGGAGCAAGCTGTGTGAAGGCAGTGTCAATGCCTTATTTACGTCAGCATCTCCACCTCTCGGTGTTTGAGAGGTGTCATTTTCTGTGGAATGATCTCATTTCCCCAGTTCTCTGCATCCTCTAATGCACTGGCATTTGCACCAGTCATGAGTTCCTTTCCCCAGGATATCTGGTCATGTCTCCAGCCCTTAACAGAAGGAGGCCTGCCAGCAGTTGCTTATTCACCTCCATCCCCCAGATAGCACTTAATGGCATTCCTCATTGACATAGATAATTGGTGACCAGAATGCTAAAACTGAGAACAATGAAGAAGAAATGGTAATTGCAAAGTACAGACTTGGTGACGGAAATGAGGCCTGAAATAGCATGATCAAATTTTGTATGTTCAATGATTTATTCCTCACAAATACCTTTCTTTAAAAAAAAACCATAAATGGGTCCCACCACTTGCCACTGCCCCAGGCCCGTGATGCTCGCCAAGCACTGAAGGGAGACCTGCTCTGCTCCGTCTGTGCGGCCTCGCCTGCTGCCTGCCCGCCTCCCTATGCCTCAGCTTCTCTGCCACTGCCTGCACCTGCAGTGGCGCCTCTGGAAACCCGCTCCAGTACCTGGACACAGACACTGACAGGCAGCCGCTGGGCTGCGTGGTGCTGGAGCTGAAGGTATATGTCATCCTAATGACAGCAGAAAACTATAGAGCCCCGTGTCCCCAAGAGAATGGTTGGAGAATGGTTTCGTCTACAAAGGCTCCACCTTCCCCAGGGTAATCCCATTCTTCACGTGTCAGGAGGGTGACCTCACAAATGACAATGGCACAGGTGGCAAGTCCATCTATGGGAGCCGCATTCCTGATGAGAAGCTCACACTAAGAATGTGGGACCCATTGTCCTGTTCACGGCGAATGCAGATCCCAGTATCAAGGGCTCTCAGTTCTTCATCTGCACCATGGGGACTAGCTGGACGACAAATGTCAAAGAGGGCATGGAGGTCATGAAGAAAAAATCTTTCAGCTCTAGGAGCAGGAAGACGTCCAAGAAGATTGTCATCATGGACCATGGCCAGCTGAAGTAGCCCGGGTGGGCCATGTGAGGGTGGCAGCAATGCTGGCACCCAGGTAACAACAGCTCTGGAAGCTCGGTGGCTCTGCCTGCTAGAGTTGCCTCCTGCCTGTCCATAACCACTGTGTTTGGGGAAAGTCTTACAGGAATCCCAGACTTCCACTTCCCTAGTGCCCACCTTCCTCCTGACCCACTTCCTCAACTCCGTGTCCACACTGAGTCCCCCACCCCTCAGCAAGCCTTGCCTTTGACCACATAAGCCAATTTCACTTGTGCCTTGGACACCAGTGAGAACATTTGGGAAAAACGTGTGCCTTCCCCTTGACCAAGGGAAAAGTCAGTTGCTTCAGAAAGACTCATAATACTGGTTTCATTTACTCAGCCTGTTCTGAAGAGTTCAACTAATAAGATGTAATTAGACATGAAGCTGTGATACTTCACTGTGCTGGGATGGGACCTGATTTGGTGGTTGGTTTTTGAAACAGAATTCTGGGCTTTGTATAGGAAGCACGGCCGAGACTTCTCTGCTGTACTGGGAACTGTGCTGGTTTGCTGCTGTCATTGAGAAGGGTGCATGCTGGTGGCAGCAGATGAGCCAGGGAACAAACCCAAAGTGAGCTGTGTCCAGTCACTGACAATCCGTGTTGACATGGCCCTGCCCATGTGCCATATTCTCTGGAGAAATAACCTTGTGTTTACTGGAGCCTTGATTTTTGAGAAATTAAATTTACTGATTACAAATGTGAAAAAAACCCCACCAAACCCAAAAAATCAACCCAAAACACAAATAGGCCAGTTAAAAGTAGGTCATCACAGGAAGTGGTTGGTCCTTGGGGAAGGTAGCATTGTTGTACATGAAAAAAAAAAATCCCCACAACCAACCAAAAAACCAAACACAAATGGTGACTTTACACATGGATCTCGCTTGATGGACTGCATAGGAATTGATTGACAACATATGTGGAGGGAATTGTTGGAAAAGCCCAATATCAGCAGGGAAAACCAGGCCAGGTGCTGACTGTGGAACAGACAATAAGAATAATTGCTTATGTGCAAGTTCAAATTGAGGTCAAAGAAAAATTAAAACAAGTCCAAAGAACAAACAAGAACCAAAATATGATCTTGATTCTGTCTCACCTGAACTTAAAAATCACATATATACACATATATTTTATACATACACACATGAATAAATGAGCCCTGCTTTCACAATAGTTAAGTGTTTGGCTGCTAACTAGAAGGTCAGCGGTTCTAATCTACCTACTGGCATCATGAAGGAAAAGACTTGCTAAGATGCTCCCATAAAAATTATAGCCCTGGAATCTTTATGAGGAAATTCTACTTCCTGATGACTGTAAGTTAACTATGAACTGGAATTGACTCAGGAGCAATGAAAATATATTATTGATGAGTATCACTGCTATTGTTTTAGCTGCTGTCAAGCCAATCCCAAGTACAACAGAATGAAATGTGGTCCTGTCTAGTATTAATATTCTGTAGCAATCTATAGGACTTTCATGGGCTAATTTTTGGAAGGAGATTGCCAGGTCTTTCTTCCTAATTTGGTTTGCTCTTGAAGTTCTGCTGAAACCTGTCCATCATGGTTTTTGAAATGCTGGTGGCAAGCTTCTATCATCACAGCAACATGCAAACCACCATATACAATATAATAAAGTGACAGATGGATGATGACTATGTATCACATGAAGTAATAAGATTTGACAATAGATCTAATAACTCATGATTTCAGTGTTGATGAAAATGGCATTTTCCACTATATGCAATAACTTCACCATAATATGAAATATCTGTTATTTCTATTGGTGGTGACATAATCACGTCAGCAGTTACTAACACTAGTTTGTTGTTTAGATTCATAAAGAGTTACTTAATTTCAGTGAAACATTACAAAATAAAAATATTTTTCCCCATCTAAGCATACACACACTCTAACCTCTGCTTATGTCTCTCTTGGTGTTGGTGGGGGAGAGTTTCATGGATTCCAGATTAAGAACAGTGTTTTAAAGTCATGAGTGATAAATTATTTTCAACAGGGAAGAAATAACTGGTGATGAAATGTTTGTGCCTTTTGATTAGTGTACAGTACTACTTCATTTTATTGCACTTCACTTAATTGCATTTCACAAATGTATTTTACAAATCGAAGGCGTGTGGCAACCCTGCATTGAGCAAGTGTTATCAGTGGCTTTTCTCCCCAACTGCACTTAGTGACTTCATGTTCCTATGCCACATTTTGGTAATTCTCACAATATTTCAGACTTTTCCATCACATTTAACAGACTACATTCACTCACTTATTGCCTTCAGTCAAACAACTCATATCTGACTCTTAAGCGGGTTTGTGGAGCCTGTAAATTGAACAGGAGATAACTTATCCGCTTTCTGTGGGGTAGCTGGAGGATTTGAAAGCTGGCCTATGGGTTGGCAGTGCAACTCCTTACTCATTAGATCGATAGAGTGATCAATAGAGCTCCCTTAATAGACTACAGCATAATGTTAACATAGTTTTGCTCTGGGGAAGCAAAACTGTTACATGATTCATTTAATTGCAATATTTGCTTTCTTGTGGTGATCCAGAATGGAACCTACAATGTCTCAAGGTATGCCTGTTATGGGCAGTGGGATGATGAGAAGGAGATGTGGTGAGGACATTTCTAGAAGGTCTGAGTGTAAATCTCACAGACATTGCTTCCTGGTATTGTGAAATTTGGCCTGATGTTTCAACATGTCTGGTGTCTATTCCCTCATCTATAACATGAGAATGTGATTCTTGTCTTAATTTTTGAAAGGATTCAAGTTAAAGTATGAAAATTTTAGGGGCCAATTGTGTACTTGTAATTAAAAAAGAATACTGTTAAATGTCTGTGGAACAGATACAAATTCACCTAGTACAGCTTCTTTCAGAATTGAAACCTCAAACTCTGTCCTGCTCTATGAACTGGGAGGCAGCAGTTCCTAAGGTTGTCAGCTCTTTCTCACCAGGCAAATGTGGGAAAATCTGTCCTGCTTTTCCCACTCCCACATTAAGTCCCCAAAATACAACCCAAGATGCAAAAACAGAGTTTCTTGCCTTATTTTATTAGAAGCATATTTACACTTCTACAGTTAACTTTGCAGAACATTTTACAAAAGTTCTTTAGAAACTTTAGAAGTGACATAAAAATAGCTACTATCCTTCATAAAGGGGAAATATAAGTTAGTTCTATTTACTCTGCTAAAAACGGACTGGAAATAAGAAAGAGTTCCACCTGTCCCTGACAGAAATGTTAGCACTGGACATGAGGAATACTGCATGGCCTTCACAGCAGTGGGAGCAGGAAGCATGGTGGCTCAGTGCTGAGGCTAGACCAGTCGAGCAGACTCTGTCCAGAAAGGTTCACCACCTTGAGCAGCAAAGAAGCAACTCCTGGAAAGGCATTCCATGGAAATGACCAGCCAAACAAGGGAATGATGGTAGCTCCCCTGAATCATGAAGCTGGCATTTCAGCTAAAACTCACCCTCACACCCCAGGTTGCAAAACAAAATAACACAGACAAGTCCCAAGATCAGCCTCACTGTTGGAACTGGCTTATGGTCTGCCTTTACACTAGTGGCTCACAGTGCCTGAGCGTCTGTGCAACAGATGAATATAAGACAGATCTTGATTAACTTCTTCCATTTGGTTGATGCTTGGAAAATGTCACTCATCTGCTACCCAAAAGGTTGGTGGTTCAATGTTACCAGCCATACCTTGGGAGAAATATGAGGAATATGCTTCTGGAAAAAGAGTAACAGCCTTTAAAATGTATGGGACAGTTCTACTCTGTACTACAAGGTTGTGAGTCAGAAGCCACTTGGTGACAGTGAAATTGGGACAAATACTGAAGCAGGCAAGCTGAATGCTCATTAACCTCAGAGAACGCCCCCTGAGAGCACCACAACTGCTAATCGAAGACTTGGAGACTCCAAGTCCCCAGATTCCCTTTTCTTTGTTTCCCAGGGATCCAGTTACAACCAATGCTAAGAAAACTTCCTGAGAGCTGCAACAGAAAGACAAAACATTGACCTTAACCTTTAGGAATGAAGGAAAAAAGTCCCGTTTGGGTGGTCCAGCCACTCTATTACCAGCAAAGTAGTACCTAGCCTCATGATTCCTAAAAATTATCATGAGGGAGGCGGGTTTTGTGTGTGTCTTTTAAGGCAAGTATCTTCTTGAAGATCCTGAAGATGCTGCCAGGAGGGAGCAGTCCTTATCATACTTGGAAGAGTAGAGGGTCAGCACAGGAAAGGACGACCTTGGGTGAGATGGACTGACAGAGTGACTAGGGTAATAGTCACCTGTGGACAGGTGGGTCAGGGATGGTGCAGTTGGCTCAGGATAGGACAGGGTTCTGACAGCAAATACAACAACATCTTCCTGAAGAAGCCATACATTTTCAATTTGTCTCAATGGACAATGAGAAATCAAGGGGGAAAGGTTTTCCTTGTAAATCAACCAAATGCTGGTTCAAGCAGTTCTTTGTATTAAGTCAGACACACTCTGTGTCCTGGGGAGATGAGAATCTGTGGGGGCCAAATGAGTAGTCTGCATGTGCAACATCTTATCGGAGAGACAGAACCTTTGCTCTGCTGTGTCTTTGCAGGAGGGGTGAAGGGTTGCAGAGTGGGGTGGAGAATGTACTCAGGTTTCTGCCATTGCTTTCCTGAAGATAAATTCAAGTGACAACCAGTCTGCCTCTCAAATATAACACCATGCTTTTGAACTAGGAGGGGCACAGTACAGAGGGAAAGAGCTTTCCTGAATCTCCTGTGGACAGGTGCGTGTGAGATGGGAGTCAACAGCACAGTGAAGAGTTTATCTCCAGAGAATGCTGTGTGGGGGCCAAAATGCAACTAGAGTGTGGCTTGTGCCTCCTCTCTGCCTCAAGTGCCAATGCCTACTTTTCTCCATACCAACTTCTCTATGCAAAAATACCTAGTAGCCCAGGCTCAGGTGGCAAATGTGTTCCCACCACCTGTGCACAGGAGACCTGGAGAGAGACAGGCCTGGTAGATGTCAAGGGGCTGTGTGTGTGTGTGTGTGTGTGTTCCTCAAGCAGGATGCTAGATACCTGAGACCAGCAGAACAAACATTACAGGTCTCCCTCCTGAATTCCTTTTCTCAATTAGAAGGCAAACAAACAAGGGTCAGGAGGGACAAGGTGCTCCTGAGCCACTGGCTGTAGGCTGGGCTCCTGCAGGAACTAAAATGGTTGCTGGGGTCCAGAATTGTGGCTGACCCTCTGCAGGAAAGGACCTAAACCACTAGGATTTAAATCTGGATAAGATGACTTCAGCAGTAGCACTCTGGCCCCATAGACAGTGGATCTGGTGTTTTGGCAAACAGGAGGGACCTTGAGGCCACAGAACACCCACTCCTTCTGGACCCTGACTCTACCAGTAGGCATTAGGGTCAGAACTCAATGGAAGAGATGTCCCCCTCCAGGAGTACATGAGCATCAGGGATTCTGTGACAAGTGTGCTGGCCACAGCCGGGCAATGCAAGGGCAAGGGGTTGGATTCGTGCTGGCACAGAAGCAAGAGAAAGGTCCTGAGTTACTTGTTCACAGAGAATGGGAGGGCCCTGAGGCCCAGCCACCCTGCCAGCCACAGTCCCAGGTGGCTGTTAAGAAGCATCTGCAGAGCTGTAGGGGAAGAACTTGGTGGTCTTGTTTGGGGTAGGAGGGTTCAGAGACTCTGCTTCCACACTTAGTTTGAAGAACATCTCCTGCTCCCATTTCTTCTGGTTCAGATCTTCTTCCAGAGCCTAGGACAGAGAGAGGAAAAATAAACACTAGAGGGGTCCAGACAGTTGGAAACCACAATCTCGTTCCACTCCCCTGAAATTCCACCAGGTCACAGTGATGGAAATTAGTGTAACCCCAAAGTCTTCTCCTGTATGCTTACACCTTGTTCCCTCTGATGCCTCAGCCTCACACATCCTGTATCAGTCCTAATAGTGAACGAGCTAACACTCCTATTTCCCTATTATCCAGGTTAACTGATGCCCTCCCAAGAGGGGCACTCACTTGGACCATACAGAAGTGACAGAGGAAAGGGAAAAAATGGCCCTCTCCTTGAAAATCTCCAGAAATTTCTCTTCTAAGTCTTTTTTAAATTAAATTTTTTTTTCAAATCTCTTCTATGCACACCCATGTTTATCACAGCTTTGCTCACAATAGCAAGGCGTTGGAAACAACCTAAGTGCCCATCAACAAACGAATGGATAGAGAAGCTGTGGTATATTCACACAATGGAATACTATGCTGCATTGAAAAACAAGGAACTCATGCAATATTATTCAAAATGGTTGACCATGGAGGACATTATGCTGAGTGAAGTATCTCGGTCACAAAAGGACAAATACTGCATGGTGCCAGTGTTGTAAAACAGGACTGACACTGAGGTTAGGGGGAGCCTGAGAAAGATGGGTCCAATAATGTACCTTGCATTGAAACTGATGAAGGAGAAAACTGTTTAAAAGGGATATGTGATTAGGTATTGTTGTCATGACAGGAGTCCAGAGCAAAGGCTGCATAATAGAGTGGAGCTGGGGGAGGGTTTGTAAAACAATTAAATTTTTCTTTTACTTTTCCAAGAGGGTAGTGTACTAGGGGGGAGGGTTTGGAGAGGAGAAAAGTGCAACAATGAATGAATGGAAATCCAAAGTCTCTGTAAATTTTCATTGAAATTAATAATAAATTAAAAAAGAAAAAAATAAAGTTGTTCAATAAAAAAACAACAACAAAACCTCTTCTAAGCCTTAAAAAAAACCAAACAGAAAACCGGTTGCCGATTCTAGCGGTGGCCCCATGTGGCACAGAGGGGACTGTGCACCACAGGGTTTTCTTGGCTGTGTTCTTTCCAGCAGCAGCTCACCAGGCCTTCTTCCACACTACCACTGGATGGATGTCACTTGCCAATCACTTTGTTAAAGGTCAAGGACTGACCACTGGTCTCCCAGGGACTTCCTAGCAGTGGGGTCCCAGTCATCCCTTTTTCTTTCCAGTGGCCACGACCCGGAAAATGAGTGCCACTTGGTTCTTCCTCCTGCACACTCACATCCACAGAGGGATTTCCTTTGTACTGTGGCCTACAGCTTCAGGAGGTGCCGACCTAGATGAGGTGGAGGAGAGGGCAAAGCATGCGCAAATTTAAAGACAGTCGGATTAATAAGAGAACTCCAGAGATAGAAAAGGAAGAGAGCTTTAACAGCAAGTGGGTTAGAGGCATCAGCATCACACAGTGATTCCTAACCAGAAACACCTAGGAGGCTGCTGATTTTTTTCCACACTGGTGTGCCTTTGCAGCACCTCAGAGACTCTGCTTCTGGAGTTCTGTGGTAGGATCACCCCACCTCATCCATTCCACCTATCATCAAGTTGATTCTACTCATGGTGATCCCATGTGTGTCAGCGAAACTGTTCCGCAACGTTTTCAATGGCTGAGTTGTTAGAAGATTTGGGTGGACTCAAACCTCCAACCTTCTGGTTGGCAGCTGGGTGTGTTAATCATCTGAAGGCCCTAGGGGTTCTGTGACAAGAGCACAGGTCTTCATATTGTAAAGGTTCCTCAGGTAACTGAAGGGCCATCTATGTGATAATCACCACGGGTGTGTCCTCTGGGCACAGTGTGAGTTTAAGGAGATAAATTGGATCTGACCAGAACGAGGAATCCTGAGACTTGCTCTGAATTAATTCCCTAAATACATACTTGTTGAATGTCCTCAGAGCCCCAGAACCTCTTGGAAGAAATATGAGACATAAGGCATTGCTGAGAGGGAACCAGATCGTTTAATTTCAAACTCCCAGGACATGCCAAGGGCATGGAACCCCCAGGTAAGAGAACCAACTAAGCATTTATTTCCTGATGCTAGAGATGCCCTATGCCAGAAAAGCATTACTGATTTGAATATCAGGTATAAAAAGTCTCAGCAGACAGACTGTGGTTACAGAAACCAATGAGCATGAGCTCCATGCCAGCAGGAAGCTACGGGACCCTGGCCAGCTTCCAGCCAGAAAGCTCCATTAGCACAGGGAGAGAAACCTAAACTCAAGGTCTTCCAAGGCTATTACACCACTAAGGTGGACGGTGGCCTCCTGTTGGAGCCACAGCTGTAGCAAGCTGGGCTGACGCATAAAAGGAGAATGAGCTTGAGGATGTCAGGGCACATGAGACATACACATGATTAAAGACAGCTCAAAAGAGGAGTCCCTGAGGGGCACAAATGGTTAAGTGCTCCACTATTAGCCCAAAGATTGGCGTTTTGAACCCACTAAAGGTACTCTGAAAGGAAAAGGCCTGGTAATTTGCTTCCTAAAGGTCACGCCAAAGAAAATCCTATGGTGCAGTATTTTACTGGCCACACGCATGAGTTAAATCGGCTTGTTAACAACTAACAAGAAGTCAGAGACTGTAGGAGAAGCTAAAACATGAGCCTGCCCTTGGGCTGCAGGGTGGGCTGGCAGCCTTTTAAAAGTCTTATACAATACCAATATTATCACGCCACAGTTGGGGCACAGGGAAGTATGATGGCTTACCTAATGTCCCCAAACTGGAGACTAGCAAAAATTCCAAAGAAAACCATCAGACAGGTGAATGAGTTCTCCTCACCTCTCTGGTGCCATCCTAGTCCAAGACCAAGACTACTGCAACCAGTTCCTTCCTGCTTCCCTGGCTTCTGCCATGGCTCCTCCACAGACATTCTTCACGCAGCCAGCCAGGCAGGCCTAACCCCGTGACCCTCCTGCATAGAGCAAGTCTACTGGAGCTATTTTAACAGCAGCATGTGACAAATCCTTGTGTCACGTTTTGGTAATTCTTCCAATATTGATAGCTTCTTTTTTTTTTAGCAGAATTAATAAAGTTTATTTCGAGTTTGAACCCGGGCTCCCGCGTGCTGACACAGCAGCATCCACCGGAGAGCCTGATAACTTCTTCATAGTGCTATTGCACACTTTATAGTACAGAGAGTTTAACACAATGCCTCACTCTTTTAAATCGACGACCGTGCTTAGAAGCACATTTTGCCGTCATTTGCGGCAAGTTAAAGATAACTTGGGGGCAGGGGGCGGGGGGATTCATTTGACTGGTTTATGGCAGTGGTCTGGAGCTGTGTCGGCAGGATCTCCCAGGTACGCCTTTGCAGGTACATAAAAACAGTGTTACACAACCACCATCACTGTTTCTAAAATATCACCCCAAACAGAAACTCAGTATCCTTTAACTAATACCTCCCTTATCACTTCCCTCAGGCCTCTGGTAATCTCTAATCCGATTTCTGTCTCTACATGCTTGCCTGTTGGAGGCATTTCATCTAAGTGGAGCTGTACAATATTTGGCCTTTTATATCTGGCTTGTTTCACTTAAGCATAATGTTTTCAAGGTTCATCTAGGTTGTATCATTATCACAACTTCATTTCTTTCTATGGCTGGATATATTCCATTCTGTGTATAAACTACATATTGCTGGGTACCACAGAGTCAGAACTGACCCAGGGCTGACCCTCTGGCAGGTTTTCAGAGGCAGTTAATGACACAGGAGGAGATTGCCCATCCTTCGCCCATGGAGCGGCTGGTGGCCTGGAACTGCGAGCCTTCGGGATTATAGCACAGCTTCTTGCCAGTAGGCCACCACAGCTCACATTGCTTATCCAAATTCATCTGCTGACAGACATGTGGTTATCTCTATTTTCTGGCTACTGAGAATAGTGTTGTAACGAACATGAATCCTGGTGGACCAGAGAGAGCCTTTTTAAAACTCTAAGTCAGATCATGCCATATCAGCTCAGAACCCTCCACTGACTCCCACTGAGTAAAATCAGAGGCTCCTGCTACTTCTCTGACTTCATTTCCTCTCTCTTACCCCTCAGCATCCTTGATGCTGCCTTGAATGTGACAAGGGCAACACTTTTCTGTGTTGGGAATCCTTCCCCTCGTTATCTGCTTGGTTCCCTTTCTCAGGTTCAGCAGGTGTTTGCTCAGATGCCCCCTCCCTGTGTCCTCCTGCCACATGATGACATAAGCATAGACAGGACACTGTGATATGCTCAAGGATGGCTATGTGCATGTGAGGCTCCTGGGAACCACTGACTTCAGGTATCCAGAGTTCAATCCTCAAGTGAGGTCTTAGTGGGTGAGAGAGACAACATATCTCTTTCACTTTCCTGATTTTTCTCCTGAGCACTGGGCACTATCTGATAGATATTTGTTCACTGTTGGCCTCCCTTCACTAGGAACTTTGTTCCCTGCCATTATTGCTCATGCCTAAAACAGAATGAGGTACTTGGTATTATGTCTCAATATATTTGTTGCTCAAATGAATGACAAGAACAAATGAATGAACAAGCTAATGATGGCACACAATGATTAAAACTGTGTGCTAAATCGCCTAACTGGGGCCAGTATAGGGAGCTGTCAGAGAAGGCACTCACATGCCCTAGGGGGGTGGGAGTTGCCCAGAGTCCAGAAGATCAGCAGAGCTGGCCAAGCACAGGCTGGTGGGTACAGAACTCCTGGCAAAGGGAACAGCCCGGGCAAAAGTCCACTAGGAAACAAGGACTGCACACACACAGCACAGTATGGAGAACTATTTGGGTACTAAAGCCTACTTGGGACATGAATAGTTAATAATTCTCAAAAGGCAGTCTGTGGACCTCTGATGGTCTCTGAGATGCTTTCAGCGGGGAAGAGAGGGCCAGGACTATATTCAAAACACAAAGACGTTATTTGACCTTTTCACAATTCTGACACGGTACTAAAACAATGGTGGGTAAAAGTTCCAGAGTTTTATCCATTATTCAATACATTAATAAACATCAATGTAGATAATGGATTTAGTTACGTTAGTTAATTTAGATAATGGCACCAAGTTGTAGGAGAGGTTTTCTTTTGTAACCACCATGCACTTATTAGGGAACACAAAACTAGTTTGATATTTGTGATGAAATAGCACAAATAACAACTCTTATTATTAAGGCTTTTAAGAACATTCCTATTAAGTCTTAACTACAATGGCACATCTGTCTAATATCCTGTGTGATAAAAGACAGGAAGTGCACATGGCATGCACTTGTGCTGAGCACAGATGACGATTGTCCAGAGAGAACCATCTGTGATGTTGGGTGAGCTTGGAGCTGGATGAGCGTCTTTTTCCAGATCATCATTTTTACTTAGAAGAATGACTGGCAGAAATACTGAGTATGTGGCAGACATTTCATCCATGAAAACGAACACCGCATTTTCCTTCAGGAAAAGAACTAACCCAGTATTTATTGCCAAAATGTGAGCTTTCAAACAAAAGATGGTAACTTCAGAAAATTCCACCCCAGGAGAGTAATAGCTTCTCTACGTTTAAAGCTTTTTCTTATGAGATGAGATTGGTGGTGTTACCAATAGATGTGCTATTTTTTAAATACTGTGTAATGGAAGGTACTAGCATCTGGAAGATCTCCAGGCCATTGTGAACCAGTATTATCAAATGGCCAATGTGTGATGTTATAAGGTCATGGGTGAAAGTTCTATTCAAGTAGAAAGCATGGAAGTCAGTGTTCACCAGGGAAAGGATCTAAGAATTAAGAATCAATGCCTGTTCACTCCGCAGAGCGTTGATTTGCCACTGATGGAGGTCTTTGTCCTTTAAAATTTCAAAAAAGTAATTCACTTTGGGAATGTGGATTGCCAAATATATGAAATTTTACAATCAGCAGCCTGCTCGTCTCTGCTTTCTCTTTTAGGTCAGACCTTCTGACTGAATCCCAGGCGACTGCTCCTATGTATATTATGTACCAGGCAGCTTCTTATACTTTGGCTCCTTTCACTTAGCACAATACATTTACATCATCCAAGCTGATGAATGTGTGGATAGTTTGTTCCTTTTTCATGCTGTGTAGTATTCCAATGCCTGGCCACACATATGGAGAAGAGTACTGAATATCCCTTGGATTGCCAAAAGAACATATATCTTAGTTCTCTAAGATAAAGCCAGGGTGCTTCCTGGAGACAAGAGATGGTGAAATGTTGTCTCACATACTTCAGGCATGCTGGTACAAGGGGCTATTCCCTGGAAAGGGGCATCATGCTTGGAAAGGCGAAGGTCAGTGAAAGAGAGGAAGACCCTCAACAAGATGGATTGACAAAAGTGATGGCAGCAATGGGTTTGACTATGTCAGAGATAATGAGGATGGCACAGGATAGGACAGAGTTCAGATCTGTTGTTTTTGGGGTTGTTATGAGTTGTACTCAATGGCGCATAGCAACAACAGCTATATATCAGCTGTGTAGTCACCATTTCATTTATCTTTTATTTTTTTTGGAGGTGGTTTTTGTGTATGTATTCACCATTTAAAGTACATTTGGATTTCCAGTTGTTATTAATAATGCTGATAAAAACAAATAAAAAGTTACAATCAAAATGCAAGCTTAATACTTTTTTTTTTTTAGTGGTTGTAATCTTTTGGAAGATCACCAGTTCTTTCTTCTGATTTGTCTCTTGGTGGATTCAAACCACTAACTTTTAGATCAGTAACCACATTCTTAACCAAGGATTTTAGCACGGCCTATGAGTTCAGTGTGAATAGTTTACTGTTTTGGGCTCCACACTGCAAACGCAGTTAACCTTGAAGAAACTACCACAAAGGAAGAAAAAAACTCCACAAACAAAACCCTCAAGAAATCTCATCGTAGAGTTTTGGTGCACTATAGAGAAAGATACCCATAATCATTCTAAAAAAGGCTACACGAATATTCCCTTTTCTCAACACACATCTCTGTGAGGCCAGATTTTCTTTATATACTTCAATTAAAATAAAAAATACAACAGCTGTCCTTGTTTAAACTAAAGATGGAATAGATTTGCTAAATGTGAAACAATGCCACTCTTTTCATTTGTTTTGGAAAAACTAATAATTTTTTACAAACATGTGTTATTTATCTAAACGTGTCATGGCTCGATTATTCTCTTAGTTTACATTTATAATATGGTAAATACCCACAGACGAAAGGTCTTTGAGGATGTCAATGACTTTGAGGAGTAAGGGGGCTGAAGACCTAGTGTACGGAGCCTAGGTTAAGAAGGTGGTTCGGGTAAACAGGTGAGAAGCAATGAGTCCTTATTGGAAGAGGGTATCACTGAGGAAGGAAATGGAGCAAAGTGACCGGCACATGGTAGAAGGAGGAAGGGGAAGATGAAGGAACTGAATGTATCACTCAGTGGTTACTTGGCATCCAGGTACATGGAGGTGCCATTTAACAAGACATGGAAGCTGGAGAAGGAGCCGTAGGAAAAGATAAGAACTATTTTATGGCTGCTACAAGGTAGGAATCTAGAAAAAGAAGGGCATCTAAGATGTCACAGGCCAACCTGTGGCCAGGCACAGCACAGAGTCCACCAGCCTAGACCTGGTTACCTTTTTGCGTGGCCGAAGCTTATCCCGCCATTCCTTCAGCGTCTGGTTATGACTCTCGTCCAGTGCCTTCAGTTTCTGGGTTTCGTGCTCCACCAAGAGGTGACATTTTTCATTCTGGAACAAATCCCAGGCAGGACAGGTGAGAAAATCAGAAGGCCGGGCACTGAGGGTTGAGAGACATCTATCATCATGTAGCCATGAAGGCATCAACATGAAAGAATCATTCCTTTCTTCTCCTCAACCACAAGCCCCAAACGTATATGAAGCTAAACTCAGGTAACTATACCTGCAATGAGCAGTACCTGGAGAATAGTCCAGAGCAAGAATGTTAACAGCACTTATCAACTTTGGGGGGAGGGTATTTATAGGAATTTTTACTTTCCCTTTCTGGGATCTCCACAGAGTTTTGAATTTTTCAAAATGAATAGATACCACTTTGAGTTAGTGCAATTCTCTAAGGCCTCAGCTACCAGAATTCCCTATGGATCTTATTTTAATAGAACAAAAAAAGATCAGCAATAAACCCAAATTTATGTGTTGTTCATAGAGTTATGGATCATACTCATTTCAATGGCAGCTATCAACAACAAAAATTCCATGTCACATAGGCAACTACACACACTGGTTTACTGTCTGCCATTTATTGTTGGCTTTCTCTATCATTAAGCAATACTCTCCCTGTACAATCTAGAACTTGTTCTCTACCCTCACTTAACATTACATTGTAAATATTTCTCCAAACAGTCAACACCCTTTGTTTGTTGTTGTTGTTATGTGCTTGCGACTCATAGCGACCCTGTGTACAAGAGCCCTAAACGCTGCTCTATCCTGTGCCAACCTTGCCATCTCCGACACATTCATTCCCACCACTCCACTCTCAGAATCAGTCCATCTCATCAAAGGTCTTCCTCTCCTGCGCCGTCCCTCCACTCTCCCAAACATGATGTCTCTCTCCAAGGATCAGTCAGTCCCTCCTTGCAACATGCCCAAAGTATGTCAGACGAAGCTGCAGAATCCTTGACTCCAAGAAGCATTCCGGCTTCATCCCCTCCAAGACAAACCTGTTTGTTCTCCTTGCAGTCCATAGTGTATTCAATACTCTTCTCCAGCACCACAGCTCAAAGGCATCAATTCTCTATCATCCCTAGTCACTGTCCCCCACCCCAATAATTTTTATTCTGAGTTTCAAGACATACTGGTCTAGTCAGGAGTAATATTCACAATGGCAGCGAGTACCTGTGACATGCCAGGAGCTGTGCTTGGCACTTTCTATCGGTTCTCTCAGGTACTCCTTACACAGATCCTATGGGCAGGGATGAGAAAAGCTAATAAAAATTACACCATGACAAACAGAATAACCCTTGACTGGAAGACTTCAGTGCCTGTAACATGTCCTTCATTCTTTCTTGCTTTTCCAGCACTGGCCAGATGGGTTGGACAGCCTGGATAGCTTCGTCACACCCGCAAAAGGTTTGATTTGGCCTCCTCTCCTAATTCTGACAATACCTGGATCCGCCACTAGGGGGCTCTGGGGACGCGTTCCTGAGGCCAGGTCATTACAGGTGTGCTGCAAACCGGAGTCAAGAAACTTAAAGGGTTCTCCAATGACATTCATGATTCTGCCCAAGGTTTCAGGACCAACAGGAATTCTGATTGGTGCTCCAGAATCCAGGGCCTTCTGGCCTCTAACCAAACAATGGTCCTCTCACCCAAATGCTGGCTTACTCCAAGACTAGTCTGGTATCCCTGCCCTGCCCTTCCAAGGCATTTTTAGGCCCTCGTCAAACTGGATGTCCACCACTGCCCTGATGACTGCCACCATGTGCCCAATGGTGGCACCTGTCTTTGGTGCAGGAGACGGGTTGGGCCTCATAGTTTCTGCCGGGCTGCAGCACTGCAGGGGCGGCCCACAACAAGAGCTGAGTTTGGGGCAGCGAAATTGAAGGGCCAAGACCCCGTAAGGCCCTGGAGGCCGAAGCAGCTGCCACACAGCCCACAAGCCCCTACATGGTGGGGTCTAGAATGTGACTGGAGAACCCACTGATGAGAGAGGCCATCAGAATGAAACAATTTGCTCCTATTCACGCGGCGGCAGCCCCTGAGTTCATAGAGATGAGTGTTGAGCGGGAAATTCTGGTTACTGGTATCAAGGTTGTGGATCTGCCAGGTCCCTATGCCAAGGGTGGCAAAATTGGACTTTTTGGTACTTCTAGAGTTGGCAAGACTGTAGTGATGATAGAATTAATCAATACTGTTGCCAAAGCCCATAGTGGTGACTCTGTGTTTGCTGGTGTTGGTGAAAAGACCTGTAATGGCAATGATTTATACCACGTAATGATTGAGTCTAGTTTTATCAATGTGAAAGATGCTACCTCCAAGGTGGCACTGGTGTACGATCAAATGAATGAACCACCTGGTGCTTGGGCCGGAGTAACTTTGACTGGACTGACAGCAGGTGAACACCCTCAGAGACCAAGAAGGCCAAGATATACTTCTGTTTATTGATAACATCCTTCGCTTCACCCAGGCTGGCTCAGAGCTATCTGCCTTACTGGGCAGAATCCCTGCTATCAGCCCACCTTGGCTACTGATATGGGGACTATGCAGAAGAGAATCACCACCACTAAGAAAGGACCTATCACCTCTGTGCAGGCTATTCATGTGCCTGCTGGAGATCTGACTCCTCCTATTCCTGCTATGACCTTTGCCCATTTGGATGCTACCACTGTAGCATCCTGTCCTGTGCTATTTCTGAGCTGGGCATCTATCCAGCTGTGGATCTTCTAGATTCTACCTGCATCATGGACCCCAATATTGTTGCCAATGAACATTATGATGTTGCCCATGGGGTGGAAAAAAAAAACCACACCAAAACCAAAAAGAGCTACAGAACTACAAATCTCTCCACGACATTACTGCTATCCTGTGTATGGGTGAACTTCCTGAGGAAGATAAGTTGATTGTGTCTTGTGCACAGAAAAAAGTGAAAAGACAAGAAAAGTGTTTCTTGTCTCAGCCATTCCAAGCTGCTAAGATCTTCATGGGTTTATGGCGAAGCTGGTACCCTTGAAGGAGACCATCACAGGCTTTCAGCTGATTTTAACAGGTGAATATGACCACCTCCCAGAGCAAGCCTCCTATATCATGGGACACATTGGAGAAGTTGTGGCAAAAGAACATTCTTGAGGGGGTCCTTTGGTTGTCCATCCTGATTTTTATCTTCTTGCACCTAGTCGAAAAAGCTTTCATTTTCTGTGTAGACCACATGAAAATGAAAATGTGTTGTCTGATGAGCATTTAAAGTTTCCAATAAAATGTACATCCCTCAGGGAAAAAAAAAGAATCTCAGAGGGATCTGGGATCTCTAGAGGAAGCACGAGTTGTGTAGTTCACAGTGAGTGATGCTGTTAATCATTTACAGCCTTGGAAACCCAATGCAGGGTCAGTTGTTTCCCATTTGACAGCAATGAGAGAGAGAGAAAGAGAGAGATCTCTACAAGGAAAGCAGTCATCAAAGGGCTCCTTAATATCCAGGACACAATGATGACTGAAAATTTAGCTGCATGCTCACTGCCTGGCCCTGGACAAGGCATTTTCAGCTCCACTATTTTATTTTGAAATCTTTATCCAGTCAGGTTGCTCCTTGGAGGCAAGGAGTTTGAAACTCTGTCTCACATACTTTGGGCATGTTGTCAGGAGGGGCTAGTCCTTGGAGAAGGACGTCATGCTTGGAATGTTGTGGAGGGTCAGTCCAGAAGATGAAGACCTTGGATGAAACAGACTGATACAGTGACCGTGGCAATGCAGTCAGATGTGTCAGAGACGGTAAGGTTGGCTCAGGGTAGGGCAGGGTTCAGGTCTGTTGTTCATAGGGTCACTATGAGTTGTGGTTGACTTGATGGCACCTAACAACAACAACCCCAATCATGCAAAATAGGAATTGTTACCCACCCTGAGTCCATTCTGTGGATGTGACAACAGCAAGGAAGAATGGAGCAATTTGCCCGAGGTTACACAGCACAAGGGCAGTGCAGGTAGGCCTGGAACCAACCCCCTGAGCTGGTCTGAACAGGAGACAGCCGTGTGTGGAGTCCCTGAGAGCTGGGTGCTTCGGGGAACCCAGCAGTGTGGTGGAGGGAAAGATTTCTGCACTGCAAAGTGAGGGCAGCAGGGCAGTACCTGAAGCTGCTGCAGCTCGTATGTATTGCTCTCACACTGGGCCGCCATGTCCCGCATCTGATTCTCATGTTTCTGCTGTTGCTGCAGTCGCTCCGCTTTTTGCCTCTTCTCCTCCTGCTGGGAGAACTGCAACAGAGAGAAGGTGGGTGCCTCAGAGTGGGCCTGGCTGGGGGCTGCGAGGGAGCTTGCTGGCTCTATCCAGTGTCCAGCAGCATCTAGACTATGTCCCGATTTTAAGCCCTCATCCTAAGCTAAGACCCAGCTCTGCCCTTGAGGAGCCTCTGGCTGATGGAGGCTGGGGTGTCAGAACCCTTAAAATCTGGCTTTTCTAGCCATTGTGTTAGCCCCTGTTTGTGGAGGGGGCTGGTCTCTAGCTACTTTAATTGCAGACATATGGTCTTGTAAATCATCAACAACTGTGGGGCCAATATAAGAGAGCTCTTTCCACTGTGAAAAAAGGTGGTGAAGGTGAAGGAGGAACTGTGAAGACACTATGAAAGATGGTAGTTTAGAGGGAGTAAAAAGACTGCTATGAAATAACGTGGCAAGGTGTGACCAGAGGAACCTTGGAGATGGAGTCACAGTTAGAGTTATGCTTGCTGGAGGATTGAAGGAAAAGTTGATTTGTAACTGCTTTGAAATTAAGTTTGCTGAATGATTGAGGAAACCAAAGGTTTTTATTTGTACTAATGAATTGAACCTAGACTTTTACTTGTTAACTAAGCAGCTGTTTGAACTAATTGAGGAACTGTGTCTTGCTATAAACCTGGCTTGGGATTGCTGGGCTAAACCTGGACTTACATTGTGTGATAGTCTTTTCCTTCCCCAATCCACAACCTATTTTCCTAATAAACCCACAACTGTGAATAAAGTCTGTGAGTCTTGCAATGAACATAAGACCCAATTATTGGCAAAAATAGGTGCAGGAGCATGTGGGATGGCTTGCCTGACCATGTAGTCATTTGTATGGTGCTACTGATATTATTGGTGGGGATAGTTCTCCTTTATGAAGCAGGTCAGACTCAGCCACCCTCATGTTGTTACCACAGCTATTTTTGCCCCAAGCAGATGGGGCACTGTGATGTGACGTGTGCTAGAACAGCTGAGCGTTCACCACCCGAGGTTCATGGGAGCCTCTAATTCCATGAATCTGGAGCCACACAGGGCAACCCATGAAAGAGGTCTTGGTGGGTGAGAGGAAGTGGTGTATCTGGACAGAAGAAACATGGCATGTTAAAGGGAATAGTGATAAGAAAGCTAGGGAGTTCAGAGTCACACCAAGCTCCCGTTTCACCCAGTGGATCCACGCAGGAGCCTTCGAATATGACTTGACTCCCTTCTAAGGTTCTGTGCTACCTGTTTTTTAAAAAATATTTATAGTGGTTAAACATATATAACAAAACATTTGCTACATCAACCATTTGTATTTATATAACTGCCTATGAAAAACCACTTGAGGGTCATCTATATGAGTCAGTTCAAACTCCACTGGCAGACACTACGCTCGTGGCCCCGCCCACCGTGCCCACAGGCCCCGCCCACCCACACTCGTCTGCCAGGCCCACCTGCTTGATCTTCTCACGCTGCTCAGAGGCGCTGCCCCCACCATTGATGTGAAGGCTCTTCTTGTACATGGCCATGCGCGTCTTGCCCTCGCTCCTCTGAATCTTGGGCAGTCGCGCCTTCTCCTGCTGCTGCCGCACCTTCAGCTGCTCCATCATGCGCTGGTTGTAGCGCTGCATCTGCTCCCGCTCCTGAAGAGGAAACACCCCAAGGGACTGAGGTCAGCTGCACTCTGTGTGGCCAGAGGCCAAAGCCTGCACTCAGCTCCACAGTCCAAGACCCTGTGGTCCAGCATGCTTACCTGGGCAAAGCCTCTTATTCAGCTGTTCTGTTAGACAGAAATCCCTGAGTGGCACAAAAGTTTAAGGACTCAGCTACTAACCACAATGTTGACGGTTTGAACCCACACAGTGGTGACTCAGAAGAAAGAAGCAGATACTCCTGAAAGGTCATAGCCTTGAAAACTCTATATATACACCTTAGGCTGCTAGAACCAGCAGTAACTTGGTGGGATTTTGGTGTACTATTAAGACATTTTCTGTCTCCCTTCAGCAATTATGATCAGTGAAATTTTGGATGTTTATATTCTAAATGCCTCTTCAAATAAGAAAACAGTATGCCACATTAGCTAATATCTCAAAGCAAAAATATGCACTAAGGGTACAATTCAGCTTTATTGGTGAAGGATATAAATTTGTATTTTGAAGCCTTGACACATATGAACTTTTTCCTTCACCTAATACCTATTTGTATTTCAAAACTCAGCACCTCCAGGCAGCCTCCTCTGACTTCCTAGCTGTGTTGGATACTCTTATTCTGAGCTGTCACAGTCCACTGCTGACTTCTATTTAGCTTAGGAATTACAATTATTCACATTTAGGTGTTCAGACTTGTGTTGCTGATCTCCATCCACTCTCTAGAGACTGAACCAAGACTGAGATGATTATCTTGGAAGTAGAGGGTGCTCTGAACACAGAGCGGGAGCCTTTATCTGGTCCGAGAAGTTGTAGGAAAGGCTTTCTGGTAGAGGTGGCATTTAAACTGGAACTAAAAAAGTATTCCAAGAAAAAGCATAGAAAAAGGAGAAATAAAGATAAAATGGGGGGTGGGGGGGAAGCAAAGAGGAAAAAGAATAAAAGACAGACACACCTATCTGGAGTTAGAGTTGGCAGAGGGGACCACTAAGCCAGCTGTCTTCTGGCTGGTCTCTTGCTCCTGAATGTCCCCATCAGACGTGAGGAGTCCGGAACCAGGCCAAACCCATGTGTGATCTTTCTGGTTGGACCAGAGAAATGACAAGGCTTTGCCTGACAGCTGGGAGGAGAACCAGTCTTGATGCAAGGTTGGGCACAGGCCTCCAGCCAGGCCAGCCATGCATGTCTGCACCACCAGACTAGGCGCCTCCTTCTTTCGGAGGTGGGAGGACCATCAACTGAAGTCCTTCCCAGGGGCCTTTGCTGAGACCTCTGATCACTGATTCATCATGTCCCTGATCCTAGCCCATCCCTCAGGTTTTTAAAAAGCCAGGACCCTTTTATTTGGGACTCCTTAGCTGTGAGATGAGGTTCCCTCTGTGCTGCAGAAACCTGGAACACTTGGAGGCATCAAGCAGCTCTCTTTTTACTTGTAACTTGCCCTTTGCCAGAAGTGAATTAAGGGCTTGACTGTTACTTTGTTTGGCTGATTGTCCCCACAGATCACCTTGACACAAGCTTAGCAGGTGGGATATTCATGGAAGAATTTCCCAGGGCCTCACTGGTCCCTCTTGGGGATACAGACAGTCTCTAAGACCCCTCCTCCTAATGCACGTCTTTGGTGGTAGACATTACTACCAGTTCCAGACGCCTCACCTTCTCGTGCTTGCGCAGAAGTTCATGCCGCTGCAGGAAGTACTGGTCTTTGAGCTGCTGCTTTACCAACTGGTGCCTCTCCTGCAGGTGGTGTTCCTCCATCTCCCACAGGGCTGCCTCCCGATCTGCAGAGACATACCATCGTGAGGCGCTGAGGAGGGAGAGCCCAGAAGCCCTCTCCTCCACCAGACTGCCTCACTCTACAGTGTGGAGGAATCACCTGGCACTTGATATCTCATTTATACTATATGCTGATCTGACCCGGTGCTTCCACAAACTTCCTTCAAACCCATGGCAACTCCCAGCAGTGTGGAAGAGCAGAGAGCATTACAGTCAGAAGCCAGAGAAACCTGTAACTGAGGTTGGAACACAGCATCAAGGTTGGTCTTTCAAAAACCTACTGCTAGCAAACTGCTGACCTTCCAGAGAGTTTTCAGAGGTGGTAAATAGCACAGGAGATTACCCACCTTTCTGTCTCAGAGCTGTTGGTGGATTCACACTGTCAGCAAGGTGCCTTCCTTAGAATTAGCCAGCAACTCCCTACCATTAAGCCCTCAGATTCGCCTGTATTTTAGGCTGGGTAAACAGCCTCTCCAGGCCTCTGCTTATAATTTTGCCAACCACACCATAGAGCACAGAATGTCCTTGGGAGGTATTTTTAAGTACATTTTGTTCTGCACTTTTGACTTTTCCAGTGGGGCAATTGAGGATGGCTGAGGAAGATGGGATGGTCTCTTGCCACTATCTACTCTTCTGAAAAGGGGGAGAGGGTAATCTTTATTCCCTGCATGTCCCCTATATGCACTGAGGAGACAATGAGATCTGGTGTTCCATCCCTGTTAACTGATCTCACTGCCCTGAATGCGGGGGGGGGGGGGTGTTCCATCCCTGTTAACTGATCTCACTGCCCTGAATGCGGGGGGGGGGGGGGGGGGGGGGGGGGGGGGGGGGGGGGCGCGCGCGCTGGTGTCAGTCTAAGACCCTCATACTCTGCATGGTACACATCCAATCTTGCTTGGCTTGTGACAAATACTCAGTGCATTTTAGTCTTATTGTTTGAAAACTAGTATTCACAATACAGCATCAGAGTACGGATTTTGTCTTCTAAACAAGATCAGTTACCAGGGTGGTTCTTAAGGACATTAGAGGATAACAAGATAGAAATGAAGGTTTTCTGAAATATTTGTGCTCTATCTTTTGAGAACTCCATTTTGCTGGTTGACATCAAATGAGAGGTTCTGCTAAGCCACACTGACTATCCAAGCATTGGATGAGAAACTGGAAGAATAAAGAGTGTAGCTTTGAAGTGAGACATGCATTTAAGGTTTAGCTCTACCTCTCCTTAACTATGTAACCTTGAACAAAAAATATGCATTCTCCAAACTTCAGTTGTCTACAAAACGGATATAATAACAAGACCCGCCTCATGGGGTTAAGATGAGGATTCAATAAAATTAACCTGTGAGAACTGGCTGGCACATGGACCAGCAGAACTTCTATTCAGTAACATAGTGGTTAAGATGCAGCTCTTCACAATCTCTGCCTGATTACCCATAAACCCAGCTCACTAATTTATAATTCTCACTCATTCTACTTCTCTTCTTCCCCCTCCCCGTTCTGTACTATATTTACTAAGATTTCTGTAATAATGTTAAGAAGTATTGGTGAGAGCTCTGGTGCCTAGTGGCAAGAAGCTTCACTGCAATCCCAGAGGTGTGTATTTTAAGGAGGGGCAATCTCCTCCTGTCCCAGTCAGTTCTGATTTGATGGTATACACATAAAAAATATTAAAATTAAAAAATTTTAAAAAAGAAGTATTGGTGAGAAGGGCTTTGGTAGTTAGTTCACTGGCAGAATTCTCGCCTGCTGTGTGGGAGACCCAGGTTCTGTGCCTGGCCAGTGTACCCCATGTGCAGCCACCATCTGTAGTGGATGCTTGCATGTTGCTATGAGGCTGAACAGGCTTCAGCAGAGCTTCTTGGCTAAGACAAGACAAGCAGAAAAGGTCTGCAAATCCGCTGCCCAAAATCAGCAAATGGAAACTCTACTATTCAATTGCAACTGATGGAGGGATGGCGCAGGGCTGAGCAGCATTTGGTTTCTTTGTGCATGATGTCATCATGAGTCAAACAGCTACTGACAACAAGTTGTTGTTGTTAAGTGCTGTTGAGTCATAGACGACTCAGAGCGACCCTATGAATGAAAGACTTGAACACTTGTATAACTTTCATCGTTTCTTCATGTCCATAGGGTTTCCGGAGGCAAGCTATTTTGGAAGTGGATTCCACTCCTGCTTCCAAGCTTGTTTTAATCGGGAAGCTCCACCAAACACTGTCCACCATGGGTGGCCATTCTTGCATTTGATACATCAGTGACAGCATCACAGCGGCCATGAGCTACCTCTGTATAGCAAGTGGACAGACCAGTGCTATACCACTTAGAAGAATGTTTGACCACAAGTATTAGGGATCAGTGGTATACCCTTCCCTCATCCCTGGAGTTGTTTTACCGCTGACATAGCACCATTTTGATGGAAGGGACCTAGCAGTTCTTTCGTGCTCACCCACTTCCAAAGGTTGGGGTGGTCACTCATGGTGATTCTGAGTTGAGGGTGCCCCCCTCTCCAAGCACCCACCTCGAAGGAGCTCCTGCTTCCTGTTGAGGCACTCGCGCTCCTTGTCACAGATCTCCCGCCTGTTCTCCGTGGTGATTCTCTTCATTGCCTGCTCCAGGTCTTCCTTCTGCTTGGCTAGAAAGTCCTGGTCCTGAGGGCAACGGTAGGGGCAGACTTTTACCCAGAGCTGCCTATCACTTCTCAGCAATTACTCTTGTTACAGAGGAAAAGGCACTGTGATCAGTTAGGAAAACTTGGGAAATAAATAAAGAAAATATAGGAATGGGAAACTTGAAACTTAAGAGACGGAGCAATAATTGCTAATAGGGGTCTTACTTGGATCCTGATTAAAACAATCAGTTGTGGGAAAAACAAAAACAAAAAAAAAACAACAAACCACCCCCATTTGTGAGGTAACTGGAAGCTTGAATCCTTACCTGAGTACAAAGAATTAAGCTATTATGGTTAACTTGTTCAGTTCTTAGCTGTAGGTATGCTACTGAGGTGTAGGTTATGGAAAATATTTACAGGTAAAATTATATGATGTCTGAGCAATGAATGGATGGAAATCCAAAATCTCTGTAAATGCTCATTAAAATTATTTAAAAAATTAAATTATGTCTAATGTTTGTTTTAAAATAATGAGGTGAGATGTGGGAGGGAGTTGATAATTACTAAGATTGGGTGTTGTGCTTATGGAGTTTATTATATTATTTTCCACACTAGAAAGTAAAAACATTACAATTAAAAAAATAAGAAACATAATAATGAAAGAAAATCCCTACTAATCCCATAACCCTCATTTTAACTGACTTCCAGTCTGGGCTCTATCTCTACACTATTATAACTCACCTCTTCCATTAGCACCCATAGGGTTTTTAAAGCCTGTTATATAGGAAGTAGAAGGCCCATGATGTTGGGAAGGGTGGAGCTTTGGTGAAGGAGAGAAAGACCCTCAACCAGATGCACTGACAAGGTGACTGCTGCAATGGGCTCTTATATGTCAGGAAGTGTGAGGATGGCGCAGGATAGAACAGGGTTCAGATCTTTTGTTCACAGGGTCACTATGAGTCATACTCGACGGCACCTTACTACAGCAACAATCCCACAATCCTTAGGCAAGCAGCCATTTGTCATGTTCATGTATATAAGTACATGTGTATCTACTTGCTATTGTTTCACAATAATTATTAAAAGGCCTTTCCAAGCAACCATCCCTGGTACATATGGTCTTTATGCTCCGGGATCAATATAGGAAGAGGATGAATAAGCATTAGGAGGAGAAAATAGAAAGTGTGGGCAATTGCCTCCATGAACAGCTGCCTCCTTTGACATGAGAAAAGAAGAACTGGATGGTATCCTGCTACCATTACCATTATAGGAGAAATCTGATCAAAGTGAGGGGGAAATGTAGAAAATAATTACAAATTGTCATGGACTCTAGACTCTCTGGAGCCATACAATCTCCAAAATTAGTGCCCTGAAGACAGTCTTTGAACCTTAAGCCAAAAATATTTTCTGCAGTGTTCTTTTGAGGTTCCTCCCCCCCTCAAGGTGGAAGTAAAGGCAATTTTACTAGAAAAGACACATCTGAGAGAGAAAGAGATGTGTTATTCTCCAAAGGTAAAGAAGTGGAAAAAGACTTTAACTGTTCTTTAAATAAAATGATGTTATTATTGTTGTTAGGTGCCACTGAGTTGAGTATGACTTATGGTGAGCTATGAACAATATATCCAGACCCTGTTCTATCCTGTGCTATTTTCATCATCTTTGACATACCTGAGATCATTGCTGCAGTCACTGTGTCAATCCTATCTTGCTGAGGTTCTTTCCCTCCTCTGCTGACCCTCCAATTTCCAAGCATGATGTCCCTCTCCAAGGAATAACCTCTCCTAGTAAAATGCCCAAAGGATGTGAAGCAAAACTTTATTATCTTTGGCTCCAAGGAGCACTCTGGTTGTACTTTTCCCAAGACATATCTGTTAGTTCTTTTGGCAGGCCATGGAAAAATTATCTTCTCCAACACCACAATTCAAAGGCATCAGTTCTTCTATTGTCCTTGTTCATTGTTCAGTTCTCAGAGGCATAGCAAGTGATTGAAAAGATCATGGCCTGAATCAGGCACACCTTAGTCTTCAAACTAACATTATTGTTCCTCAGTACTTTGGAGAAGTCCCTGATTGTGGATTTGCCCAAAGCAATACATCTCCTGATTTCCTGACTGCTGGTACAAAGGATGTTGATTGTGGATCCAAGTAAGATAAAATTGTTGGAAATTTCAATCTTTGCTCCATCTATCATGATGTTACTTATTGGTCTAGTGTAAGGATTTTTGTCTTCTTGCTGCTGAGATGCAATTCATATTGCATATCTTTGATCTTCTGCAGCAAGCATTCCAAATTCTCTTCACTTTCAACAAGCAACGTTGTGTCAACTGTGTAAGGTTGTTGGTGAGGCTTCTTGTAATCCTGATGACACATTTTTCTCAAATGACTGTCTCAGTATACAGACTGAACATGTATGGAGAAAGGACACAATCTTGATATACACCATTTTTTTTTTTAGTTTTTTAAAAAAATAAATGTTTATATTTTTTATTTTTTAAACCATTCAGTGTTCCTTTGCTGTATTTTGACAATAGCTTGTTTGTCCAGATATCAGTTTGGGGTTTTTCTTTTTTTCTTTGGTTTTTAAAAAAATTATTTTAACGAGGGGGAGGGTTGGGCAGGGAGAAAAGTGCAACAATGAATGAATGGAAATTAAAAATCTCTGTAAATGTTTATTAAAAATTAATAAAATTTAAAAAAATTAATTTTAATGAAAGTTTACAGAGACTTTGGATTTCCATTCATTCACTGTTGCAAACTTTCCTCCCTGCCCACCCCTCTCCCTAGTTCACTTTTCTCTTTGAAAAGTAAAAATATTCTTTCATTGTTATACAACTTCACTTCACCTACCCCCTGCCCCCAATCCACTCAACTATGCAGCTTTCATTCTGAACTCTTGTAATGACAATAATACCTAATCATATATTCCTCCTAAACAGTTCTCTCCCTCATCTATTTCAATGCAATATACATTATTTATCATCTCTTAGTTTCCCCCCAACTCCAATGTCAGTGGCACTATGCAGTACTTGTCCTTTTGTGACAGATATTTCACTCAGCATAATGTCCTCCAGGGTCACCATTTTGCATAATATTTCATGAGTTCCTTGTTTTTCAATGCAGCAGTTGTGTGAATATACCACAGCTTCTCTATCTATTCATTTGCTGATGGGCACAGATAATCAGTTTTGTTGTTGTTGTGGTTGTTATGTGTTGTGCCTGCGACTCATAGCGACCCTATGTACAACAGTCCTAAACTCTGCTCTATCCTGTGCCAATCTTATTGTCTCTGACACACCTACCCCCATTACCCCAGTCACTGAATCAATCCATCTCATTGAGGGTCTTCAGGAGCATAATTAATTGTTTCTGGATTCTCATTCTTCTTATAATCCAGTGAAATGCCTTTGCATAGTCAATAAAACACAACAGACATGCTTCTGGTATTCTCTACTGTCAGCCAGGATCCATCTGACATCAGCAATGATACCACTGGTGCTGTGGCCTCTTTTAAAACCAGCTTGATGTGATCCACACAGTCAAATGCCTTTGGATAGTTAATGAAACACAGATAGACAGTCCTCTGGTACGCTTTACTTTCTACCAAGATCCATCTGACATTGGCATTAACGTCTCTAATGCCATGACCTCATCTAAACCCAGCCTATATTTCTGGTAGTTCTCTGTTAATGTACTGTTCCAGTTGTTTCTGCATAATCTTCAGCAGAATTTTGCTTGCATGTGATATTAGTGATATTATTTGGTAATTTCCACACTCTGTTGGGTCACCTTTTCTTTGTTTTTATTTTATTTTATTAATTTTAGTGAACATTTACAGAGATTTTAGATTTCCATTTATTCATTGTTGCACTTGATATCTTTGCTTTTTTATCAATTTTATTTTATGTGTGTGTGTGTGTGTGTGTGTGTGTGTGTGTGTGTGTGTGTGTTGTGTGTACCATCAAATCAGATCTGACTAGTACAGGTGGAGATTATTCCTCCTTCTCCAGCAGAGCATCTGGTGGATTCGAACCACACACCTCTGGGATTGTAGTACACCTTCTTGCCACTAGGCCACTAGAGCTCGCCAGGTCACCTTTTCTTAGAACGGGAATAAGTATGGATCTCGTCCAGGTAGTTATCCTCCAGGAACCAGTGTAAAACTTTTATTTAAAAAAAAAAAAAATAATGGGGTGAGGGAAATTGGAACAATCTGTTCTGGAAAACAATTTATTCAAATTTTGTAAATAAACTAGTATCTTTTAAAAAAATGAGAAATCATCTCAGCTTAGCAATAACAGCAAAGTTCTATAAGACAACAAACAATGAAAGTTGGTGAGGGTTTTGAGAAATTGAAACTCTTATACACTGCTGGTGGGAATATCAAATGGTGCATTTACTATGGAAAGCAGTTTGCCAGTTTCTTAGAAATTGGGAAAAGAAATATAATTTGATCCAGTAGTACCACTGCTTGGTTCATATCCCAAAGAAATAAGAGCTATGACATGAAGAGATTTATGTACACTCAGACACATAGATGCATCTAGAGAACATTATGCTAAGTGAAAGAAAAGTCACAAAAAGACAAATATTGTATAAGACCACTTTAATAAAAAGCTAAGGAAAGGTTTACACATAGAATCATTCTTGGATGATAACAAAGGATGAAGAAAGATGGACAGAGAATAAAAAGCAGTACATACTAAGATCAGCAATGTGTAAAAATGAAGATCAGTGCAATATCACTACTAAATAAAGGAAAGACCCAGAGAAGCACAGAAGGGTCAGTAGAAATCAGAATTATAGGAAGGAAAGGAGAAAAAAATTTGACTGTGTTAAGAGTATTGAAATTACTGTTATACACTCAGATTTGGGGGAATCTAAGATGGGATAAATAATGTATAATGCATTGAAACAGACGAGGGAGAGTACTGTTTAGGAGGAATATATTATTGGTATTATTGTCATGACAAGAGTCCAGAATGAAAGCTGCATAGTGGAGTGGACTTGGGGGGAGGGGATTGTGTAACAATGAAAAAAAATTTTTTTTTTTTACTTTTCAAAGAGAAAAGTTAATTGGGGGAGGGGCAGGGAGGAAAGTGTGTAACAACGAATGAATGGAAATTTAAAAAATTAAATTAAATTTAAAAAAAATAGAAAACACAACAAAAAAGTAAATTACTCTTATAGAACAAAATGTGCATAAATGACAGAAAAAATTATTTTGTTTTGTAGACTTTCACACCAAACACAATAAAAAATAAAAATAGTGATAGGTTGATTCTGGCTTCTATTTTAGGTAGTGCTGTGTTCACATTCTGGTAGCTAAATGTTTGTGAACTGCTGTGACATTGTCTTCAGGACTGGTCTCCAGGAGCAGAAAAACTCTAGCATATGCATATTTTTGAGGTACTTGACACATAACCAGATCACCTTTCTTAAAGGCCACATTATCTGCCCTCTCCACAGAGGTGTGGGCCTATGTCCCAACCCTCACTACCCCTGCATTCTTTCTCTAGTCACACCATCAAGGGCCAAGGGTGGAATGATGGTGTCCTAGACAGAAGTCTGGAGTCAGAGTGAATTTGAGTCTTGGCTCGCCGCTGTTAACTCTGCAGTATCACCTCCCTAAACCTTGGTTTTCTATTTGATAAATAGAAAAAACAACAGTAATTAACCCTGTTAATCATGAATGTGGAATCTGATGACACAGAGAAATTGTGTCATTGTAAATGTGGCCTGGCTGGTCCTATAGACTCTAATAATGTTTCAAATCATTAAGATGTAGGGGACACAGAAAAGGCAAAGATCTAGAGGGAAGGAAAAAAAATAAAGAGAGGAATAAAAGAGGGGGTGGCCTGAAGACAAGGATGCAAAGAAGGCTGGTGAGGCTGGGGCAGCGGACCCAAATGAGTGTGCACAGGAGAGGCCAGAGGGCAGGGCCTCAGAGGAGAGGAGGCTGATCTCATTTGTGGACAAATGTGAGGCATGTGGGGTTGCCAGCAGTCACAAGTAATCCAGTGGCTACAGGTTTGGTTGGTTCTGGTACTGAATGGTCAGATATGGAATCTGTCCTGATTACACCTGTTGGTGTAAGAGAGGGACCAAACGGGGGAGCAAGAGAGGGCAGGAGGACTGGCTGGAAGGTGACTGCAGCCGTTCGGGCAAAGATGCTGACAATTGCTGTGGGTCACAGAGGTGTTGACAAGGTGATGATGGATCAAGAGATGAAAAAAGTCTGAGGTTTTAGGTGATGGCGAACTGGAGGATGTGTGTGTGTACGCATGTGAACATATGGAGAGCTGAGGGGGTGAAAGGGCAACATAGTGTCTGCACTGACAAGATTTCTGGCATGACAACAGGATGGAGGGGGTGGGGGTCTTTCAGAACCAGAGGATAAGACTATGCCTAGGAGATCTTCCGTCTCCCTGGGATATCTGTGAGACTCCAAAAACAATCACACATACAAGTGGATATACTAGGCTGATCAAGGAGATGGGGTGTAAAATAAATGACCCTGCAACAAGGTCGGAGGTCTTCAGGGCTTAAGAGGAAGGGGCTGGAATGTCCAGAGAAGGAAGAGCTCACTTGCAGCCCAAGGAGGGCGGTTTGGAGAAAGCTGCACGGAGCACATGATGAGGGGAGTTGTTGGTAAGTGCCACCAAGTCAGAGCCGACTCAGCTGCTCCTCCAGTGGGTTTTCAGAGACTGTGAATTGCAGGGGAGAAGACTGTCCATCTTTTCCCTGCAGGGCAGCTTGTGGATTTGAAATCCTTGGGATTTGCAGCGTTAACTCCTTACCCACTATGTGTGCAGAACAGATGGGCATTGAGGACCAGACACAGGCAAAGCTAGGCAGGTGCAATGATAAGCTGCTGGTAGCCTCATCACCATTCAGGATCTCAACCCCACCAACTCTCCCACAGCTCTGCCCTCCCCCGCGGCCAGCCCGGCTGTGGACTCACAAGAAGTTGCTTTTTCTGCGCATGCTCCTCCATCCTCTGCTTCATGCTCTCCTTCCGCTGTTGTCGAGGGAGTTTCTCTACCTCGGTCTTCACCTGCAATGGAGACAGCAGAGGTTTCAGCCAGGGTGCCTGGATCAGTACCCATCCCGTTCCCACAAAATGAACCCGCAATCCCAGGGACATGGCTCAGCTTTCCAGGCATTCACTCCCACCCCATTCTCCAGCACGTCCATGGCATGCTGCATCTCCTAGGGTACAGGAGCCTGACTCCCCAATAGTATCAAGTGTTATTTTGCTGTTTAAACCTCCTATTGGTACACGAGCACATCTGGTTTTATTTAGGGTGTAGTTTCTCAACTTCCTCCCTCCCTTACTCCTGTCCTCTAAGAAAGTTTTTATGCTTATTTCACCTAATTACTCCCTTCCATAAAAAAGTGATGGTTCAGCTGTAGAATCCTCACTTTCTGCGTGTGACTCAGGTTCATCTTTCAGTCAGTGCACCTCAAGTAGTCAGCTTTAATGCTCAACAGGTTTCAATGGTGTGTACAGTCTAGGAAGAAAGGCTTGGTGATCTATTTCCAAAACTGAGCCAATGAGAAACAACTTCTTGTTATTGTTATGTGGCCCTGACTCAGAGCTGACCCTCTAGCAAGTTTTCAGAGGCAGTAAATTGCAAGGAAGGAGATGACCTACCTTTCTTTCAAAGAGCAGCTGGTAGATTAGAACCATGTGCCTTTGGGTTGGCAGCACAGCTCCTTACTACTAAGCCACTAAGAGGACCTTGAAAACTTCTTAGCTATTCCTAAATACCCAGAAAGAGTGGTGGGCCAAGGGCCTTGAGACCATAATTTCAGGGGATTTTAGGGCCAACTGGCATAACATGGTCTGTGAAGGCAATGTTTTACATCTTACTTTATAACTGAGGTAATAAAGGCTTATAAGCAGCCATCAAAGATCATGCAACTATTGGTCTCTCTCCATTTGGAACAAAGAAGAGTGAAGAGAACCAGTGACTCATGGAAAGCATGAGTCTAAAGGATTAACTGGAAACTCAGCCCCAGTGACATGAAGATAATAAGAACTTGATGGTGCTGAACTACTACTAATAACCACTCTGAAACAGATTAACAGGAAGAAGTCTCCTTGACAGAGTAGGAGAAAAAGATGGATCTGAACTCAACATAATACAAATGATAAGGTTTACTACTCTGATAAAGACTGTTGGATTCCTGGAAACTATGTCCCTTAGACATCTTTCAAGCCTGAAATTGAATTTACCGTCATGACTCAATTTCTAGCCAAACAAAAGACAGGCTTATAAGATGATCAATAATACTCCTTGGAACGATCAACCTTGTGAGGTCAACGGGTAGCATTTTCACAGGAAGAAAGCTCAAAACACAAGAATGGATAAGAAAAGAAGAATGGAAACAGTAAACACAGGGAAGAATCGGGAAGAGTGTTATTACATTGTGGGACTTGCAGTCAGTGTCACAGAGCAAAATGGGTACAGATTGTTGAATTGAAAACCAGTTTGCTCTGTAAGTATGCACCCAAGTGAGAACAAAAAGTTAAAGACTAAATAGATAAATGCAATTTGGAAAGTTAGAACAACAACAACAACAAATCCAGTCAATGAAAACCCTATAGATCACAATGGTCTGATTCACAACAGATGGTGGGGATGGGCAGTATCTTGTTCCACTGTGCGTGGGTCCCCAATGAGTCAGGAGGTGACGTGACTGGCAGCTAGCAGGAACATACCTGTTTACATGTTATGGTCCATTGTGGTAGCAAAGACATTACTTGTCTTGTTCAGAATGAGTGTTTCATCATACTCTCAGTTTTTGAAATTGAGGTGTGACTAATATCACCAACCCCACCGGGGGATAAGACTCTGCCTTAGTCAATTAGCCTCCCAAACAATGGTATTTTCAATTCCTTCATATGCATCTTTTGGACAATGAATTAAGAAGACCAGAGAAGAACTGATGCCTTTGAGCTGTGGTGCTGGAGAGGAATAGTCTGTGAACTGCCCAAAGAACAAGCAAGTCTCTCTGTCTTAGAGCCAGGATGTTCCTTAAGAAACACTCATGGTGAAACTTCGTCCACACCTTGAGGATGTTGTCAGTCTAGGACAGTCCTTGGGGAAAGACATCATGTTCGAAAGGTGGGGCAACAAATAAGAGAATGGCCCTCTAGAAAATAGAGTCACACAGTGACTGGAACAGTGGGCTCCAACGTGATGATGGTGCAAAACAGGGTCAAGCTCACATCTGTTGTTCTTAGGGTCTCTAGGAACTGTAGTTGACTTGACTGCACCTAACAACAACAAGAGTACCTGACAATAACGGGCTGGTTCAGATACTAGTGTTTGGCCTTGTGCAGGTCAGTGAGGGCTGTAAGAAATTTGCTGGAGCAACACAGGAAAAGCTGTTCTCTCTTGTAGGGTGGTTTATCTGGCAGATATAGGCCAAGAAGAGCTCCCTTGCAATCCCTACAAGGGGACTTCAGACAGAACCTATCCAGGGAAGCAATATGAAGAGATGAGAGAGACCAGATTCCCTTGGGCCATTGTCCCTGCCTTCCTCCCTGCTGTTGATAAGCTGCAGGATGTAAAGGAAGCTCCTAGAGACCAAGTGACAAGGCCTACCAGGAGGGAAGGCACCCCAGGAAAGCAGAGTCCAGAAGACGGAGAAGTGGCTCCTGATGAAACAAATGAACAACTTGATCCAGATCTTCCTGGGCTTTACTTTTCAGTCACATGTTGTTGTCATTCGGTGCCACAACATCAAGTACAACTCACAGTGACCCTATGAACAGCCAACCTGAACCCTGCCTTATCCTGTGTCATCCTTATCACCTCTGACACACTTGAGCCAGTGCTGAAGTCACTGTGTCAATCTACCTTGTTGAAGGTCTTCCTCTCTTTTGCTGACCTTCCATCTTTCCAAGCATGATGTCCCTTTCCAAGGAATACCCTCACCTAGCTACATGTCCAAAGAGACGAAGCTTCACCATTTTTGCCTTCCGGGAGAATTCTAGCTGTACTTTTCCCAAGACATATCTGTTTGTTCTTCCGGCAGACCATGGGACATTCAGTGCTTTTCTCCAACACCACAATTCAAAGGCATCAGTTCTTCTGCCATCTTTATTGTTCAGTTCTCTGATGTATAGCAGGTGACAAGAAGACCACGGCCTGAATCTTCCCCAAATGTCATGTTGTTGAGATGCAGTTTTTCTGGTATTTCTGTTACTTGCAAGTGAGAGCGTTCTAGCACCATTAGTCCCTTTGGCTCAGCCCAATGCATATTCACCTCCTTCTTCATCAGCTTGAGCTGTTCCTGAAACCTGGCATAGTCCCGCTCCTGCTCCAGGCGGATCCGCTTGGCCTCCTCCCGGCGGCGCACCCCATGGTCTTGCTCCATCTTCTCCACTTGCTGTTTCTGCTGACGCTCCAGGTTCTCCAACTCTGTGTCAAAGAACTTCTTCTTAGTCTGGAAAAGAACAGAAAGAGAGATCCAGCAAAATCACTTTATGCCCCAGGACCTTTGCTTAAACCAACATTTGAGACCCAGCTTCTCCACTTCTTTGCTGTGTGACCTGGGTCAAGTCACTTAATCACTCTGAGGTGAGTCTCAATTTCCTCATTTGCTAACTGGAGACCTGCAGATGATTTCCCCTGCAGAGGTGTTGCTCAATAAAGGTTAATTTCCCCCTAGAAGATCTTCTCATGTGATGACCACTAGACAGATCTTCACGTGATTCTGTGCTTATAAACCAATGCTTAGTGAGATTCTAAAACCAAGGGAAATGGGTAATTATCATGTATTACTCTCCATTGCCCAAGCATTCTCATTCTGTAGCACCCACTTAAAAAAAATGGAGGCAAGAAGGCCTGCATGACCCATCTATTCCCACTCACATTGATTTCTTGTTCAAAACGTTTCTGCATCTGTTCGAGCTGTAGCTCATGTTTGCTGCTAAGCTGGGTCTGGTTCCGATGTTCTTCCTTCTGGAGTAGCCGGAGCTCCCGGAGTTCTTGGCGCCTGAGGGGTTAGAGGATGTGAGCATTTCATAGCGGTCTCAGAGATTATGTAATTTACAGTGAGGCAGACCAAGGATTGGAGTGTAGCGCAGCATCACACAAGTTGGGGCAGAGGCATTACTAGAATCAGGTTTCATTTGACATTTCTACAACTCTCATACTCATTGCTAGGGAGTTGATTCCCACTTACAGTGACCTCTTTTGGGTTTCTGAGGCTGAAATCTTTACAGGAGGAAACTGCCTGTCTTTCTCCAAAGAAGCAGCTGGTGGATTCAAACTGCCAACCTTTTTACAGTAGCCTGACACTATACCACTACAGCACTGTCAAAATATTAGCATTCTCCATATAGAGAGAACACTTAAAATCAATAAGACAAAGAATATCCTAATAAAAAAGTGATTTAGAAAATAGACATGAAACAATGATTAAAAAAAAATACTTAAAAGCGGGGGTCTGCTGTGTGACTATGCTCTCCTGCCCCCTGCCATGCCCCGTACAAGAAATAAGTATTTTTATCTAGAATGCTCCTTAAGTTAGTCTCTGTATATTTTTTTGTTTAAAAAAGTGCTCGGAGACATTTTATGTATGCCTTTACAAAAGTATTATGAGGCCTATGTATTCTACTGTGGTTAATATTGCATTAATCTGCACAAAGTTTATGCATTTATCCCTTCTAAGTAAGGTATTCTTCTTAGCTAACCTTTCATAAGGTGTTGATAAGACCCTTTCCCCCTCCTTTTCCTTATTTTTTTTTTTTGTGAAACCACCTTATCTAATTTTAGACATTTCCAATTCCTAAGATGTGAACTGTTGGGTGGTCTGTAATTTGGCCCTAAAACAACTCTTGCTGGGCTGCCCTCGCTTGCCTTTATCTGTACCATATGATTTTATTCCACAAGAACTTTGTGTATTTGGACCTTAATAAACAAAACAGACGCTAAAAAAAAAAAACCTAAAAGCTATGAAATGTAAAATTTAAAAGAACATTTCTTTAAACTAGCAAGATTATAGTGGAAACTGATAGTTTCACATACTTCTGATGGGTATAAATTGGTACATCATCTCTGAAGAACATTTTAGCAATATGCTCATACCTTTTGACATATTAGTCCATTTCTGGACAAAGAATCTCAAGAAAAGCTTATTGATACAGAACAAACAAATAAGGATGTTTATAATAGCATTACTTATAAAAACTGGAAATAATTTCTATGTCTACCAACATAGGTCTAATTAAAGAAATTTTAAAATATCCATATAATTCTATGTTGATGTTATGTGCCGTCGAGTCGCTTGTGACTCATAGCGACCCTATGTACAACAGCTCTAAACTCTGCTCTGTCCTGTGCCAATCGCACTGTCTCTGACACTCTCATCCTGATTACCCCAGTCACTGAATCAATCCACCTCATAGAGGGCCTTCCCCTTCTGCGCCTGTACAGCACCCTCCCAAGCATGATGTCTTTCTCCAAGGACCGGTCTCTCCTTACAACATGACCAAAGTATGTCAGACGAAGCCTCAGATGCCTTGCCTCCAAAGAGCCACCCAGTTTAACCCTCTCCAAGATGAATCTGTTTATTTTCCTAGCAGTCCATGGTACCCTCAATACTCTTCTCCAACACCAAAGCTCAAAGGCATCAATTCTCCTTCTGTCCTCCCTAGTCACTGTCCAACTCTCTGACGCATAACATGTGATTGCAAAGACCATGGCCTGTATCAGATGCACTTCAGTCTCCAGATAGACACCGTTGCTCTTCAGTACTTTAGAGAGGTCACTAACAGCAGACTTTCCCATGGCAATAAGTCTTTTAATTTCCTGGCTGCTGGTGCCAAGAGTGTTGAATTCTACACAACCATTAAGAGTCAAATTTTTCAATTATTGATACATTTTTTCTACTCTCTCCCAAATTAACGTTGTAATGATGTCTTGTTACAGATTGCTAATCGTCATGCGCATAGTATTTAATCATTCATTCCTTTCAGCAAGTTCTTCCCTTTTCCAATTCGAGTGTAATGTTTATTAACTATTCACTTTGTCTGTTGTCTCCTCACTCCTGCCAAGTCCATCCTATTTTTATAACAATGGTCCTATACAGAATTTGTCCTTTTGTAACTGATAAATTCAGTGTAATGTTTCCCAGACTCATCCATGTTGTGTAATGTTTTATAGGTTCATTGTTTTTAGTGCTGTATAATATTCTAGCATGTGGATGCACCATAGCTTTTCTATCCATTCCTTTGTTGATGGATACCCGTCCTTTCTGTAAACTTCCATTAAAATCCCAATTTAAAAAAGAAACAGAGAAAAAAAATTCAAGTCTTAAATTATCAATATGGGATCAAACTGGCAGCAGCAACTTAAATTTTAGACAGGAAACTTAAGAAGCAGTGAGTTAATATTAGTGGGAAGGACTCAGAAAAAGAGAGTGAGAAGGGTCACCTAACTCAAAGAATGACATTAATATCACAGAATTGTTCACCTGCAGGTTTTACAGAATTGGTGTATTTCTTGTATTCATTTTCAACCAAAAAAAAAAATAAGTAAAATAGGTTATTTTAAAAAAACCTCAGTCTTTGGAAAAGAATTATACTGGAAAAATAATAACTCTTTATGAACAATATGGAATGATCTCTAAGTAAAAAACAAGATGCCAAACTGGACCTAAATGTCTCCTCTACCACCTGTGTAAAACATAAAATGTGTCAGCGTGTGTGCACCATGAGCATGGAACCACAGGGTTGGCAGGAATATGATGCAATGATAGTTTTTACAGTTTTATCTTCTTCTAGTTTTGGAATTTTGAACAGTGAGATTATTACTTTTCAAACAATAAATCCTGTTATGTGTGTGTTGTATACTGTAGTGTCAGAACAGACCCATAGCTGACCGTCCAGCGGGTTTTCAGAGGCAGTTAATTGCACTGGAAGAGATTACCCATCCTCCTCATGTGAAGCAACCGGTGACCTTGAACAATGTGCCTTTGAGATTATAGTGCAGCTTCTTAACACTAGGCCACCAGAGCTCCACAATAAATCCTACAGCACATAATAATTTTATAAAATTAACCTTGTACTCACAGAAAAATACCGGCAGAATAAATCCCAAAGCAGGCATAGGTTACAGGGAGTTGCAGTGCTAAGCCAAAGGCTGAGTCTCTCTGGCAGTTTGACTGCACCAGCAGCTCCTTAGAAGATGGGCAATCTCCTACCATGCGGTTTACAGCCTCTGAAAACCCACTGAAAAGTCAGCTATGAAAAGTCAGTCAGTTCTGACTCAACGGCAGATAGGAGATAGAGTATGCAGAACAAATAATCCAAAAAGTGGGGTTCTTCCTTTTGTGAGGAAGAATGTATCATCAGAATTGAAGGAAGACTCATGAACAAATTGTGAAAAGCAGATGGCACAATCTTGTTTACTGAAAATACAGGACTTGAAACACTGATTAGTGAAGATCAAAGATTACTGATTTCAGTATGGATTAAAACTCAACAATAAGAAAACAAAACTGAGCATAACAGGACCCATTGTTGTTGTTATGTGCCATCGAGTAGCTTGCGACTCATAGCGACCCTATGTACAACAGCCCTAAACTCCGCTCTGTCCTGTGCTAATCGCACTGTCTCTGACACTCCCATCCCAATTACCCCAGTCACTGAATCAATCCACTTCATAGAGGGCCTTCCTCTCCTGCGCTGTCCCTCCACCCTACCAAGCATGATGTCCCTCTCCAAGGACCGGTCCCTCCTTACAACATGTCCAAAGTATGTTAGACGGAGCCTCAGAATCCTTGCCTCCAAGGAGCAGCCCGGTTTAACCCTTTCAGGATGAATCTGTCTGTTTTCTTAGCAGTCCATGGTACCCTCAATACTCTTCTTCAACACCAAAGCTCAAAAGCATCAATTCTCCTTCTATCCTCCCTAGTCATTGTCCAACTCTCTGATGCATAACAAGTGATTGCAAAGACCATGGCCTGTACTGGACCAATAAGCAACCTAAAAAGTGAAGAAGAATTGTAAAGTTGTCAAGGGTCAGTAAAGGTCCCCTTAAAGTGGTAAAAAAACAAAATTATCACTTTAAAGACTACCATGTCCCTGATTCACATAAAGTATTTTAATTGCCACACATACATGTGGACCCTGGACAATGAATCAATGAGTATGGAAGATCAAAGAAGAATTGAGATCTTTGAACTATGGTGATGGTGAAGAATATTGAATATACCGTGGATTACTAGAATAACAAACATCTGTTAGGGAAAGAAATACAGTCTGAAAGTGCCTTTGAAACAAATATCACAAAATTCATTAGATTTTAGACATAAAGGGCCAGTTTATCAGGAGAGGCTAGTTTCTGGAGAAAGACAGAAACTCAAACTCACTGCCAGTCAAACTGAGACTCACAGTGACCCTCCACAGGATTTTCAAGGCTGTAAATCTTAACGGGAGGAGACAGCCCACCCTCCTTCCAACAAGCTGCTGCTGCTGAATGTGAACCACAGGCAAAACACAGTCTTTGGGTGAGTAGGGCAACATGAGCATGCTGTGAATTATGCTACCACAGCTGCTCTGGTAAACAGAGGGTCAGTGAAAGAGAAGAGTCTCAATGAGCTAGACTGAGACAATGGTTACAGTGATGAGCCAAACGATTGTGGGGCTGGCTCCGGATGAGGCAATGCTTTGTTCTGTTGTACACAGAGTCGTTGTGGGTCAGAATGGGCTTGACCTCACCTCAAAACAATATATAATCAGAAAGGAAACACTGATATCCTGAAGAACAAATTTAGGCCTTCTGATTATATGCCAGAGGCTTTCTGAAAGTCTCTTAAGACTGGTTGACAAGGCCTAGGTCCTCGTCCAGCATTCACAGTCTGCACTATGCGGCGTTCACTCCCACCCAGCAGGCCTTTTCATGGAACTCCCCATACAAGGAAAGGCCAGGCGTACTCTCTGGTGTTCGAGGGCAACACTGTTTGAAGTTATCTCTGTTGACTTTCCCTCT